GCTCATAGACTTTCCTCTTTTTTCTGAGATCGACCTGAACCTCCCAGACAGTGATCTGGGCCGTTGCCCCTCAGTGTATCACCTTCCAAGATAAGTTTGGCCCTGTCCATCCCCTCCATCCCTTTCTGTGCCACAGTTAGGGGCTGCTCTCAGCCTGCTCCCCCCTCCAGCCTCCCCATAGCCAGACTCAATAAGCCCAACTCCTGTCTCCTCATGGGTTGGATGCCCCAGGTCCTGACCCACCAGGCAGCCTAAGCAGGGCTACATCCAGGTCCCTGTGCCACTCTGGAACTGAGGGCTATGCCTAGACGGAGCTTTGTCTCTGTAGAAATGCAGGAAAATAGGTGACCTGAAATATCACTTTAAAAATTGTCTTTTTGTGATTCTTTTTAGGCTCCAGAACTCTTTGAGAATAAATCCTACTCAGTTACAGTTGATTACTGGAGCTTTGGAACGATGGTGTTTGAATGCATTGCAGGATTTAGACCTTTCTTACATAATCTACAGCCGTTTACCTGGTAAGACACTTATTCTACAAGAGGTGATGGCAGGCAATAGGAATGACAGCTACTTTGAGGTGACAGTGTGAACCAGAATGTTACATTTATTGCTAGTTAGCTGCTGAGGCTGGTGGTTTGCCAAGCTTTGCAGAAGCCGTCAATGCTTTATTAGTATCAATGACAGTTCAGTTCGATATTTATATGTATTGTAGTATGTGCTTATCATGTTGTGTGGTAGCCTCAGGTTGTAATAATCCTTTCACAAGTGAAATCTGAATCAAAAAATACAATTATAAACTAGCCTGCCTATCAGTGTCAGGAAAATGTAATGGGAAGGAGTGATAGAGTCCTTTGTTCACCTAGGCTGTGAGGTTAATTATTTTTAGCAATAAGAAACACACAGCAAGACAGAGAGTGTTTTGTGTATGTCCTGGTTTTAACTGGGCCAGAGCTGGTTTCTTTTCAGCAGCTCGAACAGCGCTGGGGTTTGGGTTCAGCTGGGATTTGTTAGGAGAGAAACGCTGAGAACATCCCCATGTTTGCAACTGTGTCACTGGGAGTGAAGGACTTTGTGTTCTGTCAGTCTGCAAGTGCAAGATCTAAGAGGGTGAGGAATATTGAAATGAATCAGCTCTGCCAACGGGCTGTTCCATCTCCTGTCCCACCATGGGCAGGACATTCATGAGGGGCTCTTCCTCTCTTGCTCTCTCTGGCTTTCACTCAGGCTCTCACTCTTCCGGGATTGCGGTTTCAGTTCGGGATTGTCGCTCCTCCGGGATCGTTATCTGGGAGCGGGCTGGGCTTGGTCAGCAGGTGGTGAGCAATGGCCCTGGGTGTCACTCATTTGCATAGTTACTACTATTATTATCATTACTATATTAATATTTGTATTATTTTAAGTTTTATTTTATTTCCATAATTAAATTGTTCTTGTCTCACCCTATGAGTCCTCCTTACCCTTGCCCTCCAATTCTCTCCCCTATACCCAGGGAGAGTGAGCAGGCAGCTGTGTTTGGCTGCCAGCCCAGTGCAACCATCACAGTGTAGTAAACACATAGTTACATGTTTGTAAGCAGCTTCAGAAAACTGATGACTGAAAGACTTTAACTTGCATGTGGACGTTTCTGCTTGCTCTTTGAGGGCTAGAAGAAGGGGCAGAAATACATATTTTTTCTATTTCCACTTCTTACCTTGTGATACTAGGAGTATATATAAGCTTGGTTTTTAAAAAGGTGATTTTGCAACAGAAAACATTTTCTGTTAGCACTGAAATAATAACAAGAGAAAAGGTAAATCTGAGTTTTTATGCAAGTGTTCACTTAAAAAATTCTTAGATGTGAACAAAAAGTATTTTTAACCAATATGTTGCAATAGTTTTTCCTTTTAACTGTGAACTCTTGGGATTTTATTATTTTAGTAGTTCAGTATTAGTTGCATTTTTTCCAACAAGGAAAACTTGATTTGCTAATGTAAGTAGTAGAAAAGTAATGAATGAATGAATGGGATTAGAAACAGCTCTTCCCTTTCTGTAAAAGAAGGAAGAGAACAGCACAGGCCGCATGCACGTAGCTTCAGTTCCAGTTGGGACCAAGAGCAGGCTGGCAGCCTCCAGCAGCAAGAAGCATTCAGCTGCCTCACAGCTGACTGATGAGTGTCAACTTGCCCTGGGAAATTCTGCTGCTCCGGGAGCAGCTGAGCTCTAGGCAAGGTTCACACCAGTGCTGAGGTGAGCTGAGGTGAGGAAACTGAGGCAGGGTTGCTAGTGATGCTTTCCCTGGTACTGGATCCAGTAGCGCTGGATGCTTCACTCAGATCAAGGTAAGGGCAGTGGTTTTGCAGATGACTCTTGCAGATCTTCTCATTAATATGTGGAGGCCGATCTTGTTGCGCAGGGTTGCCCTGTGGTCAGTGAATTCTTACCTGTTGATCCTCGCTTGATGCTGTCCAGCCCTCCTTACAAGCAGGTGTAAAAATGTTAATTGCAAGGGCTCTCTGGGTGGTTTACTTGGAAATGTCATCTTTGTCCTGAAAGAAGAGTTTGTTTTCCAAAGCTGTGGTGCTTTTTGCTACTGCCATATTCAGTTGGCCCTTTACATGTTGTCAGTATATCCACAAAGGATTTTATTTTCTAGGCATGAAAAAATCAAGAAGAAGGATCCAAAGCACATCTTTGCTTCTGAAGAGATGAATGGGGAGGTTCACTTTAGTACCCATCTGCCACAGCCTCACAGCCTCTGTGGGTAAGTGTGTCCTTGTGGCTACATGTGATAATTTTTTGGCTTGTTTTTTGAACTGAGGGCTCCTCCTGCTTTATCCCAAGCACTGAAGGGTCCTTCTTCTTTCTCCTAAGCAGGGTTTGAAGCTCCCAGCAAGCTACCATGTGCTGTTAAGGAATAGCCTGTAGCCACATGGCTCTTTTTTGATACTTTAGGCTTTCCAGTGGCAGTTCACCCTGCAGTTTGTGGGATGATGGCAGTTCACCTCGCAATGTGAACTCTGTGACTGCTTTCCACCCATTATCACAAGGCCCCTGAGTAACATCTACATGATAACTTGATGGTATTGAATCTCATAAACCAAGTACTTGAGTTTGCTGCTCCATGAAAGCCAAAACTTCTAGTACTTGTGTTGGGAAAACTGCAGGAAGTTCAGCAGAGGCCACAAAGATGGACTGAGCCTCTTGAACAGAGCATAGAAGGAGAGGTCCATGAAGCTGGGCCTCTTCAGTCTGTTGAAGAAGAGGCAAAGGGGGATGTGATTTTGTCTTCTACTATCTCTTGGGGCAGAGACAACAGATCTAGGCTCTTCTCAGAAGAGCAAAGTGAAAGGACGAAAGTCAACAAGGTTTCTCCATGCTAGTGGTGTATCCCTGGGACAGGGCCCTGAACAGTGGGGGATCTCCATCTGTGGGGACTGCCCAGACTCACTTGGACAAAGTCCTGAGCAGCCTGCTGTAGCTGTGACATTGGCTGTGCTCTGGGCTAGGGCTCAGACTGAAGACCTCCAGGAGGGCCTTCAGCCTGAATTAATTGGCTCGTACCAAGTCAGAAGTCAGACTCTGATCATTTGTGCCTTATTTAGCATTTAAGTCTTTAGATGTGGCCGGCAGTGCAGCACAACTCATTGTCGCTGGCAGATTTCAAGGAAGAGTACTAGAGCTGAGGATTAAATAAGTGTCTTTGTGCCAGCACTTTGGGCTTTTTGCCAAAAGTGTAAAGACTCTGTACTGTCTTTAAAGACATTCTTGACAATAAACATAGGTGCTGCTTGCGTGGATAAAAGTGAAGGAGAACCTTCCAGGTGGCTCTGCAGCACAGGGATGGTTATTCTGCAGACAAGGCTTTCAATTTTGTATGTGTCACAGATGGGTTTTGGAGGGGGGGGCGAGGGGAAACCACAACACAAAAAAATAAAGCAGAATTCTCTCTCTTACCTGTTTGGACACACCTTGCTGATGTGCCAAGATACTTTTGACTCAATGAATGGGAGTCAGGAAGAGGGAGAAGTGTAATGCAAGGTCTATTGGATGGGCATGTGCTGTGGCTGAGGTCCATGAAGGCTGTTGCTCTCTCTGTGTGTGCTTTCCTCCCCTTCCATGCTTTCCCTGCTGTCAGGATGAGCAACTGCAGCAAAATCACTGTTCTTCACACATGTTCAGTGGATGTTGCACACATACGGTCTCTAACCAAACAGTTGTAACTTCACTGCTGTTGTGAGCCCCTAGTTTCTTAAGTCATAGAATCATAGAATGTTGTGAGTTGGAAGGGACCCACAAGGATCATCCAGTCCAACTCCTGACCCTGCACAGGACAATCCCAAGATTCAGACCATGTGTCTGAGGGCACATGTTGGCCAAATGCTTCTGGAATCTTGTCAGGCTTGGTGCCATGACCACCTCTCTGGGGAGCCTGTCCCATTGCTCCACCACCCTCTGCCTGAAGAACCTTTTCCTCATGGCCAACCTCAAACTCCCCTGCCACATCTTCCTGCCATTTCCTCTGCTCCTGGTGTTGGTGGCCAGAGAGAAGAGATCAGTGCCTGCCCCTCCTCTTCCCCTTGGGAGGAAGTTCTAGACTGTGATGAGATCTCCTCTCAATCTCCTCTTCTCCAGGCTGAACAAACCAAGTGACTTCAGCCTCTCCTCATATGGGCTAACTGTTGTTAGTCTACCTTCTCTTTCTTATGGCCCTTCTCTTTTAGTTTAATTGTAGAACCAATGGAAAATTGGTTGCAACTGATGCTGAACTGGGATCCACAGCAGAGGGGTGGAGGTTTAGATCCTGAGACCAGTCGTCCAAAGTGTTTCCTAATAATGGATCACATACTGAATTTGAAGGTGAGTGAGGGTTGTTGCTGGGTTTAAAGGCCTGCTGAAAGCATCTCAGATATCAGAAAGTGTGTTCAGTGGAGCAAAGTTAAAATCCTGTTATCACCCAGCTGCACGATCATGAGGAATGTCTTTCTTGGTAGCAGGAAGTGAGTATATATACAGCCTGTCCAGTACATATCTGAAGGCAAAATATTACCATCCATATTAGTCTCTAGCTTTGCACTTGGAGTGGAAGAATGACCCTATATTGCTGTTGGTCATCTCAGGACTGCCCAAGATCGAATAATGGTTTAATCTTTGCTAGTAACAGTTCTCCTGAACTCCACTACTTGATTCTGTGGCCTCCAGGTCCATGTGCTATAGTAGTACCTGTAGTAGAACAGAGGTGATATTCACCTGACTCTTCCCCTTCAAGCAATTATTGCAGCTTTGCTGGAGTAAGACTGGCTGAGGTCAGCATGCGTAGAAGCCAGAGGATAATTTTGTCTGATCTGGAAGGATTCCAAAGGAGTTAAAGCCCAAAACACAAAATATTGTGCCCATAATAGGGACTTGTCAAAATCTGTAGATTGTGGTGTGATTTGCGTCCTACAGTCTCTGCCCAGAGATAGCAAAACTATAGAGAGGGCCCTGAGAGCAGTGAGCAGGCAAGCAGGGGGACATAACAGCATTTTGTATGGAGGGACTGAAGGAAATGGGGCTCCCTTTCTTGGGAGCAGTACAGCATCGGAGACAACAAGGCTCAAGATGGCCTTTATGCTAGCTCGTCACCGTTCTTTGGATGTCGTTAACCTGCAGCATAGCTTGCAAAGGCTGTTAGTGGGTTTGACTGTAATTTTCTCTGACATTAAGTTAAAAGTTGGAGGCCCAGACTTTGAGTTTTATTTTGTGAGGCTTTACTCCCAAACTTGGTGATTGTAGTCATTAAAACTCAAATTAAGCTCTCAGTTTAACATGTTAATTGCTACCTATTCCCTCACAGGCCTTTGTGTCCTTTGTCTTTGATAGCTGGTGACTTGTAATCAAGTTGTACTCTTTTTACAGATAGTACACATCCTAAATATGACCTCTGCCAAGATTGTTTCATTTCTCTTGCATCCCGAAGAAAGCCTTCATTCCCTTCAGATTCGGATTGAATTTGAAACGGGAATAAGTACTGGAAATCAGGAACTGCTTTTGGAAACAGGGATTTGCCTGGACCCTCGGAAACCTGCTTCCCAGTGTGTTATTGATGGCGTAGTAAGAATGATTCTTGTTTGTTTAATGTCTTTCACATTCTCGGGGAATTTAAAAATCTTAAGGAAGATAAATGTCCGTAGTCTTCTCCTAGTGGAGACAGTTTGCTCTGTAAGTGTAGTAACTCTTAAGGTCTATCATTATTTCCTTTATCAGGTAATGTAAGCAAATTCCTATAGTTATACTCTGTCTAAATGTTTAAATAAGGTAACTTGCTAGCAAATGGTCCTGTGTTTCTGTGGGATCTGTCAAAATCAGTTTTCAAGGCATCTGATAAGAAGAGTGTTCGCCCACAGTAATTAGTTCATGGTGTAGCCAGGACCCTCTGGGTTAGTAGGAGCTGTGTTTGCGATTTGTCTTGTTTATGTTCTCTTCTCTTTTCTCCTCAGAGAGGCTGGGATAGCTACATGGTCTATTTGTTTGATAAAAGCAAAACTGTTTATGATGGACCCTTTGCTTCTCGGAGTCTGTCTGATTGTGTGAATTACATTGGTAAGTATGCTGGAAGACAGCTGGGAACTGAAAGCACTGCTTCTCATGTAATAGAAAACTAGATTTGTCTTACACATCTCTGTGTAGTACTTGAAGGGCATTCTCTGATTCAAAGATGACCCTTGAAGAACATGGAGCAGCCTAACAAAGTTTCATCTACAATGCTGTATCTCCACATTTTGTAGATGTAACAGTTCAGAGTATTTATTTTCCACCCTTTGGGAGCTCTCCTGTAGAGCAACTTAAGAATTCATTGAAGTTTTTTTCCCTTATATTAAATTCTCTGCACTGAACAGCATCAGCCCCACCTAAACAGCTAAACCTCAGCATTGCGCCACTTAAACAGAACCACGATGTGAACGAAGGCTTGAGAGGTAATATGTGCAACCTAATCTTGTAGCCTAGAGAGGGACGCTTTTGGTCTGTGCCTGCACACTACATCCTGGAAAGAAGGTTCTCACTTGAGGGTTGTGATTTCATTTGCACCACCGTTTGCTCTGCTGAAGGATCTTGTCCCTTCACATGCACAGAGTGCTGCAGTGATGTCATGCCAGGAGATGTTTTCAGAACTTGAGTGACAGCCCACACAGGTACCCTTTGATGGTACCAAGGGTCAGGGACTTTCTTATCTTAGGGTCTAGCATCTGAAGAAGTTGTGCATGCACCCCTTCTTCTCCTCCCCGTGCACAGGTACAAACAGGTTTCAGCTCATTGCAATCCTTTCTCCTGAGACTGGGTGCTGTGGATGTTCATGAGCTGTTGCCCTCCTACAGCTCTCCTAGATATATCATAGAATCATAGAATGTTGTGAGTTGGAAGGGACCCACAAGGATCATCCAGTCCATCTCCTGTCCCTGCACAGGACAATCCCAAGATTCAGACCATGTGTCTGAGGGAACATGTTGGCCAAATGCTTCTGGAATCTTGTCAGGCTTGGTGCCATGACCACCTCCCTGGGGACCCTGTTCCACTGCTCCACCACCCTCTGTCTGAAGAACCTTTTCCTCATGGCCAACCTCACCCTCCCCTGCCACATCTTCCTGTGACATTTCCTCTGCTCCTAGTGTTAACTCTATCCTAGCAAAACCAGGACAGTGGCCAGAGAGAAGATACCAGCACCCGCCCCTCCTCTTAAGACCCCTTGTGAGGAAGCTCTAAACCACGATGAGATCTCCTCTCAGTCTCCTCTTCTCCAAACAAACCAAGTGACTTCAGCATTTCCTGATACGGCTTCCCCTCTAAACCCTTCACCAATTTTGTGGCCCTGTGCTTCTGAACCCCATACCAGCATCCTGAGGATACAGTTACCTTTTTGCCTCTGCTGCTGATTCTATGCTGCTGATCATTCAGGCCCTGTATGAGGAAATCTACCTTCCTCTCATCATAGAGCCAAGCCAGTATGTGTGGCCATGTTGCACCAGTTGTAGAACTGTTGTCATTCCTCTGTGGAGGTTATGAGTTGGGGCTGGTCTTCAGCGATGCTTGGCAGAGGTTCAAAACCTGTACTCTTGTAGTCTTCCCAACAGTTTTTAGCTCTAATGATGTGTCCGTAACTCCATAGTACTGATCTCTGAGATCTGGTCTCACCAAGCAGAGCTGAGTGTCTGAGGAAGTCCAGGTCCCTCCTTCCTCCTTAGTTGTTAGGAGTAGAGCCTGTGTATTGCTGCATGGATACTGGTGGGATCTGCTCCAGTTGATCCCTCTTAGTTCTGGTGCTGCTGTTCCTGGCCCTGGCATCATGCTTTTAGACTATGCATGAGATGTCTGCTGGAATGCTGCACGTAAAGGATATGCCTTATGACATACGGTTACTGTTAAATAGCTTTATTTTCTTTGGCCTGGCTTTGCAGAAGGTGTTCTTGTTTTCCCTGTCTCCTTTTACTGTCACTTGGGTTTATTATGATTGGTTTTTTTCTGTGTTCTCATTGTGTGGCATCAATGTGACGAATCTCTTGGGGCTAAGGCTTTTTACAACATGTTTATTGATATACCAATGTACTGACAGTTCCCCATCTCTATAGGGGAACACACATTAAGTCCTGCATCTTTTCCTCTTCAAGAATCTGTGAGGAAATGTACAAAAGATTTGAAAACTTTTTCAGATGAAGCACGTCAGGACAGTGACCAATATCAATTAAGTAAATGGAGCAATTAAATTTGTTTTGCTAGCTTGGGCAAGTGCTTCAGATAGAGTTTTTGGTTAAAGTAATCTGTGGGTCCTGCCCTGTGCAGTGTTTCGTACAGTGTGCCCCATGTCTGCTAGTGCCAATAGACCAAAGTGCTCAAAGAAATCAGTAGTCTTGTAGCTGTGAGTTCAAACATGAGCTGTTGCCTGGCCAGTAGCAAGCGGTAAGATTCCTGGGAAGCTGTAACATGAAAAGCTTATATAAGCTTAGGCAGCATCACATAAAAATTGAGCAGATCTTATGTGGCTTGATCCCTTAGTCTAGGCACCTGAAGCAGGAATTAGGAATGTTGTAAGCACTGAAGTCCTTTTCTAGACTTGTCCTTTCATTTGCAAACAATTGTGTTTTTCTTGCATTCAGTACAGGATAGTAAAATACAACTGCCAGTTCCTCAGCTGCGCAAGGTATGGGCAGAAGCAGTTCACTACGTGATTGGGCTAAAAGAAGATTATAGCAGGCTTTTCCAGGGCCAGAGAGCTGCCATGTAAGTTGTTACTCCTCATTGAGAAGATTCAGTATGACGTTTGCATGGAAATTTATATCTTGTGGAGTTACAACCCCCTGTTGTTCTATACTTTTACAATATAAACCATATTTGTGATTCCACTCCAGGAATTTCACTGTGTAGTGCCTGGCATTGATAATAACTAAAAAAAAACTTGAACCTTGAAAATAGCCACAGACTCACAGAATGGCTGAGGTTGGTGGGGATCTCTGGAGGTCATCAGTCAAACCTCCCTACTCAAGCATGATCACCTGTCCAGATGGCTTTTAAATATCTCCAAGGATGGGGAGTCCACAGCCTCTTTGAGCAACCTGTGCCAGTGCTTGGTCATCCTCACAGCAAAAAAGGGTTTCCTGATGTTCAGAGGGAATCTCCTGTGTTTCAATTTGCCTATTGCCTCTTGCCCTGTCACGGGGCACCACTGCAGAGAACCTGGTTCTGTCCTCAGTGCACCTTCTTCTCAGGTATTTGTACATTCTGGTCCCCACTCAGCCTTCTCTTCTCTAGGCTGAACAGTCCCAGCTCTTTCCTCATAGGAGAGGTGCTCTAGTCCCTTAATATCTTCATGGCTCTTCATTGGCCTCCCTCCGGTATGTCCATGTCTCTGGTGTACTGGGGAACCCAGAACTGGACCCAGGTGTGGTTCTACCAGCACTGAATAGAGGGGAAGGATCACCTCCCTTGACCTGCTGGCAGCATTCCTCCTGATGCAGCCCAGGACAGTCATTTCACAAGTGGAAGAATGAGTGGAACTGTTTGTTGTATTTGTAGACTTTTGTCCTGTGATTGAGTCACAGAATGGGCAGTGTCATGTATCTCAAGTGATAAAAATGTGCCAGCATTCACCAGGGGCAACATGCACTACAGGAATCTGTAAGTGCTAAGAAATACTCTACGCTGCAGAGACTGTTTAGCTGAGCTCAACAAAAAACCTGGGCAATCAGGAGGGACTTTCTCTTTTGCTTGCTAAGACCTGCAGCTTCTGAGGACGTGAGATGGCATCTGTGACCCCACTGAGACTCCCTGTTCCAAGGATCTTACTAAATTTTTTTGTCTTTCCTTCAGGTAATGTGACAGCATTGGCCACGTAAGTCCAGATACGTTCTTCAGCTAACGTGTGCTGTTCTTGTTTCATTTGTTAGGCTTAGTCTTCTTCGGTATAATGCCAACCTAATCAAAATGAAAAACAATATGGTGTCAGCATCTCAGCAACTGAAAGCAAAGCTGGAATTCTTTCATCAAAGCATTCGCCTTGATCTGGAGAGATACAGTGACCAGATGACTTACGGCATATGTACGTATTGTGTCATACTTGCCTGATCCTATAAAGGATCAGACTGACTATGTGGTAAGAACTAGCTTAAAAGACTGTGGGTAAGAACTAGCTTAAAAGAAAATGAATGCAGGAGCTTCCATTGTATTCTTCAGCATCTTTATGGATACGTCTTAGCTGGGGTAGACACAGAAGAGTTTGGCAGAAGCAAAGGCAGGAAGATAAAAAATAAAATGTTTTTGGAGACTTTCAGTCTCCAAAACAGGTAGTGATAGTGAAACAGGTGATCAGCTGTTCTCCACTGAGAACACCAAGCTAAGGAAATTGGAGTATTAATAATACTGGTGATGTAAATGTTTGCTGTTTATTAATTCAGAGGTTGATTCATTCGGAGTTGTTACTGATCATAAAGTGGAGGGCAGAGCTGCTGCACTTGGTGTACAGTGGAAGGGCCACTAACCATCCATGGCAGAAACAGGCACGGTGGCTGTTGAAACACTGTTTTGAACAGTGCTAAGGGAGTGATCTTGCTGTGCTGGGTATCAAGAGGTAGCACGCATCAGAATGAGAGATGAGGTGAAAAAGCACCAGCTACAGTTTTAATGTCACACAAACATCTGGATCTCACAAATACTATTCAGGGGAGAATGGTAAGATTTATGCATAGTTTGGATATGTGGTTAAAAACTGAAACTTGAGTCAAAAATTATGACTAGACTGAAGAATGATAATGGAAAATGGAAAGGCTCGGTGAACTGGTTTTGGACAGTCTGTGTTTAATCAAGTGGCAGTTGTTGAGCTTAATGGTGGAGTTTAAAGACTCAGACTTATTTAGGCTGGTGATTGCAAACAGTGAAATCCTCCCAAAGGTTTTGTATGCAAGTTAAGATCAAGTATGGGGTTGTTAAGTTGCAACTTTGCTGTCTCTCTGTGGTCTCTGGGTCATGGATCCTGCTTGGAGATTAAGTGGCCCACTCCTAGTGTTCAAATTCAACTGACTATGTAAAGTTCAGGTCATGCTTTATTTTTCTGTCTATATATTTTTATAAATTAACAACTCTCTTCTCTTAAGCTTCAGAAAAGATGCTCAAAGCCTGGAAGGAGATGGAAGAAAAGGCCTCTCAGTGTGCACAGGTAGGGGATATTAAAGAACCTTCATTATCTCTCTGTGAAGGAGATCACAATTGGACCTTAGTATCGTATAGGCCACTGCTCTCTCCTTTCAGTGTATTTCATATCCTGCCTGCTGTGGGAATGGGAATATTGTTGCAGGTGCATTAAAAAAGAAACAGTCACCACATTGTTCGAATGTAGTGGTTTGAACAAAACCAACACAAATGTCACTGGAGTCAGT